GATGACCACAGCAGGCACTTGGAGCAGAACGCAGAGGCGCTGCAGCCCACCGATGTCACAGCGGAACTCTAGATCACAGTTAGCGTCGGTGAAGATTGCAAGGGAGAATACTATGTTGGGGGATGAGAGGCCGCTCTATCGCTCCGTCGTGGAGCAGCACGAGATACAGCAGCTTCTTCCTCTTGGATGACGTCTTCTTCATCATATGCCGAAGCAAAATTTCTTCGTCGACCGGCATCACAGTCAGTGAAAACTATTGAATGTGAGAGGCGTTAACAGTCCTCTGAATTCGGGATACCTGTGACTTTCAGACGCCATTCCATTGCAGACAACCCTAACCGACGCTGGCAAGACCTCTTCTATGTATTTTGCCGACTGAATGGGAATGGAATTGCGATGCGAAACCTCTCTAATGACGCTGCCTATCGATCTTGATAGCTCGCTCGCCGGAGCAACCACCAGGATACTGGCATCACAGGGGGCCGAGCTACCGAGTAACTCGTTTCTCGCGCTGTGTATCTTTACCATCATCAACACTGCGCAGCGATTGACCTACTTCAAATATACTTAATTGAGTGGAGCCACGACGCTCCCTTGATGTCCTAGCAAGGACAAGGACGACGCAACATGGGTAGACAGTCTTGTCAGGTTTGAACACGCAGGATGTGGAGGTTCTTACCTTGACGTCCGACGCACGAGCGAGCTGCCGCTTCGAAAAACTCTGCAAAAGCACAATATACGTTCGGAATAAACTATACGAAAGCATAAGATGCAGTATGCGTTTTGGGAGGCGGTGCCGATAATACTCAGCTGGAACGAACCTGGGATGCCTGAAGAACAAAACGTTCATATCCGAATTCACGGTTACAAACGCCTATTCGTCTGAAGAAGACGTTACGGTTTTTCATCTTCAATTTTAAAACCTCAAGAAGTTCCGAAGCAAAATGGCAGTTGAGGTTTTTTATTCTCAATCCATAGTCTTGGTCGATAGTCGACTTCGTGACGGTTCCGACAAAACGTCGTCTCCTGAACATGTTATTGGTGGATAACATCGCGGCTTCCCAAAGGGCCGCATTCTTCGCTATTTGTTTTGCCGTGTGCGCGCCTGTCGCCGCGGAATCTAGTTGTACAAGATGGAATGCTTATGTGTCGGAGCCAATGGCGCTAAGCGCGCTTGTTGGTTCTCCAATCTCATTTTGCAATTCGATCACTGCCGGCCTCACCACCAAGCAATCCCTACGCTTACTCAATCCAGCGCAGCTTTTTGGAGATGAACCTTTTAGGATAATGGCGGGTTGCGTGTTTCGGATGACGACCATTTTGACCCTTCAACCCCTCCTAGATCTCCTGGAGCTGTCGGTGTGGAGAATCGAGAAAGCACGGCTACCCAAGCATCATTTGACGACGTACCTCCGCTTCAGAGGCGCAGATTAGCGGTCTCTTTGTCACAAGGAATGTGAGCTAATGTACCACAACTTTCAGGCGCTCATAGTTCCTCCCCATTACATTAAGAAGCCTCTCAGGGTGGTACATTGCCAGAAGACTCGACATCATGCAGGGCAACACATATTCCGTGTTCCGCAACGGATACTGTGCCCGTGATTGACAGGAATCAGCCTACAACTACGTGCACCCCGAATCGATTGGGAAGAGACCGTCTGCAACGTTTGCACCAAGGTCAACCTGGGGTTAGAACAGGAAGTATTCCACAAGATAATGACGCTCAATCTTTACCACACCTACCAACGGCGGTGCGAACGCACCGGCAGCGTGTGTATCCAGGCTCAAATGGCGTCCCGGCAGAAGTTGAATTTGCTGTGAATAACTACCACCCAAACGCTGGATTTCTGCTCGTTGGTCAGGGGCCTACCGAGCGATCATTAATCTACAAGTGGGGTGTTCGGGTTTGTCATGAAAGTGACTTGACCGTGTGCGGTTGGATTTGTCTGGCTAGTGAGCACTGCCGTTCACACGAGAGCGTTCACGTGCTATACGGCGGGAAAACCTCCAGGGCAACGAAGTATTTAAAAGACATTCACCAAGTGACTTCAGCGAAGACTACACTGGAGGATTCACGCAAGCGAACCAGAGACGAAATTGTTACGCGCATTATCGCTGCAGCACAAACACAATAAAGCAGTGAGCGTATCAGCTTGCTACTCCAAACATTACTAGTGGTGCACAACAATTTCCCTTTATCATGGGTGAGTGCGAGGAATCACAGATTTTACGCGCTGTAATAAGCAAGGACAATTTCCGAGCGGGTCTGGTGTACAGTTTTCTTGGTTCGCGAGTTCGGTGGTGAACAGAAGGCCAATTACACATTCAGTCATTGAGCTTTACGCATCGGCAAAACGTGAGTTGATTCGTTTTACAAAGATAACCGACTTCCGGACATCAAGTGTTTCGTCATGGTTGCTGACTTCTGAACTGCAAAGAACCCAGGTACAAAGTTCCTTGGGCTTCGACTTTATTTCATTACAGCAGACTTTGAACTTGTGTCAGTTCTACTGGGGACTAGACACTTTCAACCATTTTACGGGGAGCGCGATGGCGGTATTCGAGGTCCTAATAAGCGCTGGATCGTCCAGATTCTCAGTGACTTTGGTTTATCTGTGGGGTGACTTCTTCGGCGCCACTACGGACGGTGGTTCAGACGTCCATCATATGATGACATCGAGTTTACAGCTTTCCTTGGAGTGGTGCATGCCACACTTGACGAATGCCGCCACTAAAGCTGCGTTTGGAATGACCAGCAACATTGCGCGCTCCAAAAACCCCGAGATGCTTCAACTGCTGAAGAAAGTGACGCGGACGATCTACCAAGTTCGCAGTGTGGAGGTTATGGGTGACTCGTACGAACAACTTGTCCGTCTTCTTGGTGTTGGAAAGGAGAATAAGCTGATCGATTACAAACTTCATCGGTTTATGAGCCTCACTCGTGTTTTCCAGCGCATCGTTAAGCATTGGAAGTGCTTTCTTGTGATACGATGAGAGGGCGATTAAGGCTGTCAGAGACAAAGCTGTACCAGCTTCCCCGTTTCCATTAGCAGAAGACTCTACTCATGGAGCAGCTTCTTTCCCTGATGCAGCCCATTTCAGATCTTAATGTTAAAAGTCAAACTGAAAACCCATCCAGGTCGACGTTCTCATCTATAAACAGTCTCAGATAGCCAATGTAATACAGTGTTAGACACAACACGAAAACGTTTCTTATTCTCTGCCCTGGAACGTGTAGGGCTTTTCACCAGTCGAAGTAGGAATATGCTCAAGAGTACTGGCTAACTCCGAGCTCCTTCTCAGGCGCACTACCTTCCACAGAGGGAAAACAATCCAATCCAATACACACTAAGACTGAATACGGGAAGGTTCAGCCCTCAACGCAGTCTAAAAATACACTCAGGGAACGACTGCTAACCAATCACCCTAAGTATTTAAGTAACATGAAATGGGAAACCCACCCTGCCGTATCACGCAATGGGCCCAACTAGGATATGGAATGCGCGGATCGCCTCAAACGCAACGTTCGAATGATCCCCAATGCAACTGGACTTGATCGGCGTTGGGGGCAGCTTTGCACTGCACTTGTCCTTTGTAGCAGCGGACCCGGCTCCTGGCTGGCAGCACTATCGACTTGCGCAGTAGGGGTAAGAAAAACTCTCCCTGAT